TATAAAACTGCTTTTATCGTAGCTTACAAGACCTAAATATTTAATCATGTAGCCTCACTCACATTTGATGAATAGTAGATATTCCATTCCTTGAGGGTGGGTGACACTGTTTCCCCGGGGGTGGGATGTGATCTCATAGGTTGAGGCTCTGGTCGATTTTCCATCACATTTTCAGGAGAATCTGGAACAATTATGAGGATTCGAATGTAATACACTTCGTTTTAGGTTTTAGTGTAAAGGATATTCTCGACGATATTAATTCCATTGTTAATAATATTATAATATTACGAACATTATCGTAATATAATAATATCAATTATTATTACTTTTATTATCATACAAGGGCGTATCCAGGATTATCATGTGTGTGGGGCTACGGTGTGTGCAAAAATTGTCCAACTGTGATATCGTGTAATCACCACGAATTCCCGGTGGCGTTGGGAGTGGGGGTGGGGCATGAACTGTGGGGATGAAGCTTAGGTATTTAGGGTCTGTATGTAAAGCATTTAATCAACCTTGTAATTATTGTATATATAGTATAGGCCTATATATATTATTCTTGAGTACATTCTCCACTGTCCCTTGACCTTTTCCGTACACACTCATCGAACCTCGTCTCCCGAATACAGGCCTGCAATACTATTGTAACTAATGAGTATTTTAATTGATTTTGTGAATCTGAACTTACTTGTCACGACAACCTTAAAACACCCTTGATCACTTGAAACTCTAGCAGTAAAAAAAACAAAAAAAAAAAACGAAACATTTAGGGCCTAAGTGTTCAAATGATAATGCGCTGTCCGATTTGATGATGAGTTACAGTAGGTCTATGTGTTACCGGTATGTGTTTATTGAGTATCAATTTTGATTTAATGGCAGGGTAATCAATTGAAGCGCCTGATTGGGCAAAACGTTAAATATAATAAATATCATATTATTGTCATAATTTCAAATGTATTTTTTAAATCAACGTAAAAATAATTATAATTTACCCATTGTTATCTGATGCATAATAACATACAGTTTCTTCGCCGACGTTTACTGGGGTCCAATTGAGATCGATGTAAAACCTCCTGGGGTCATCGGGTGATTGGTTCAAATCCGATCGGGTCATTCCAATAGGGGTGACAGTATCAATACTCTCAATTCTGGATACGTGAATGAAAGGATCGTATATCGAATACATTTAGTTGAGAAGCCAAGAGAATAATAATAAATAAAAATAATTTAATAATAACAATAATAATAATAATAATAATAATAATGTCAGCTGCCAACTAAGGGGCACGTATCCAACTCACAGAGCT